TAGGAATCTGAAAAACGCGTTTCACAACTTGTCTCTTATTTAGTTTTATGCGTCATTCAAGATGGCGGCCCCCATATAGTAAATATGGCATTTATTTTATTATATCAGATGTGCGCCAGCTGACTGTGGGTTAGACACATTAGTATCAGACCCGGGGTATCAGATGACGACATCGTACTTCATGATTTTATTTTGGCACTTTCACAGATTCTGGTTTCCACAACAGCGAAGATGAGGTAGTGGCTAACTACACTGGTATGGACTACTCTGGTCTTCCATTTGCTAAGGCCAACCAAACGCTACCTTGGGCGAACGAAATTGGTATCGACCGATTCCTAGCAGCCGCCATGCCAGCGTCGGTGATCTGACAAATCTACACGGTCCTCGCAGTGGTTCTTGTAAGTTTACCGATAAATCTGCGAGTCGACATGACACCCAATGGGTGCCCCCATTCTATTCGGTTTGTTGTAACGCTCCTGTCATTTCCTTTCATTTGTATTAGCTGTAAAGTGAAAAAGTTTTACCATGACGAAATAACATGATGTAACAAGGCACAATATACAAATACACAACAAAAATAAACCTCATCGGAGGTGAACGCCGCTGTGTCGTGTCAGGTCAAAAATAGAGAAGGGAAATCGAATTCTTGTCAGCTTTGAGCTTTTGGTAACCAATTGTCTGCTAACACCCAGCATTCATCAGAAGAGCAGTTGGCACGTGACAAAGCAAAGTGTAAAATTGTATAGAAGTCGCGCCTCCAGCGACGATAAATTCTGTGACGTCAATGCTGCATTGATCTGTGAGCGCTCATTAATACAAATATTTCTGTTAGAGATCGGTTTTATTCTGAATCGCAAACGACTATTAAATCAAACAAAGATGTACATTTTAACGACATTACTTACACTCGTTCACGTGACGTTTACGTCACATATGCACTCCATCCTTAGGGGGCGCAATTTATATAGAAAGGTGTACCTAACTTAGGTAACGTTGTCTAGTGTTTTGATGTGATCGACGACATATTTACAGAATTTTGAAGCAAACAAAATAAATGATTTTGAGCGTTATTTTTCTTGATTAAAATATTTTTTCTGAACTTAATTGACACTGGACACTAATTATGAACTTCTGTATTTGCATAAATAAGCCCAGTTGTTAAACTTGGTTGTCATCGCGACCGCCTGCGTTCGAATATATTTTGATTTTGTGGACATAAACGACGCATTCCATCCACGTAACATTTGTCAAGTAACTATGCAAATACAGTACTTTATATTTGACCGCGCACTTGACCAAAGTATCAACAATGAAATCACTATTAAATGGACAATATCGTTTTTTTTCTCAGATTTGTCCACAAAATATCTACACCTAGGGGTGAACAATAGAAACTAGAAAGTGACTTTGGAAAGAAAATATGCACTGAGTAAAAACAAAATACAAAATTTTCAAACTCTTATGTAATTTCTTATATCTGAACCAGGTCTTCGAATATTAAACATTAAAATCGTTTCTAATTGCCCTTTAAGGTAGAATCTTACTTAATAATATAAATTATGAATATATTGAATGTTTTCTACAATTTGGTTATTCAGTGACGGCAGCTATTTTGTTATCTTCATAACATTTCATCACTGATTCACATTAATTGTTGATCATTCAGTTATTTACAGAATTATACTTATATAATATAACTGACCAAAAATACGGGTAATAACTACGATTAAAACTGTAGTTGTAAAATGCTGTAACCGTGTTTGGGACATGTTGATTTCTACAAAATGTAGACTAGTTCCGCATTCACAAGGATCATAACCACACATAGTAATCAATGCAAGTATACACGTAAGTCAAAATACAACTGACATGTTACACATATAGTTCAATCACGGTTTCAGTTAATTTCCTGATTTCTAAATTTATTGTTTTGGAATAAGAGGGACACATTTGCTAGATCGGGATTACACACATCGTCGTTAATAGCGGCATTTTACGGCAATTCAAATATCGCTACTTTACGTACATTATGGCGACGAGAATGCATTACTAACGGATCATCGCTAAACGAATCTTGACACTGATGGCGCTATATAGGTTGAATGTTTGCAAGGGTGTTACGTTCAAACGATTGACAAGGCTGATAATTAGACACAAATCACTTCCACTTTTCACTTTGTTGCGCATGCGTTTTGTAACAATAAGTTTTTTTGAAGGGGATTTGTTTCGCCATATCACAGTCATTTGTTTAGTAGTTGTAATCTCAACGTAGGCCGGAATGACAAACTACTAGCATGATGACGATGTTTTATCGGACGTTACGTGAGTTCAGCCAATTACAAATTAATCAGACAATCACGAAGCAACTTATATATAAGAACTTATGACAATTTGAATTAGTCTTTCCTGACACTGAAATATTCTCAAACTGGAAAACTTTCGTGAATGGACTTTAAACGGCGTAACAGTGCCCCAACACCATGCACAGAATTGTATTTAAATTAGATTGCGCATACTATGTAAATATTGATAAATATGTATTGTTTATGTGTATAGACAATAAAAACGAACATGTAAAGCACTCTTATTGTCTCTCAGTTCTTCAGTGTGCGCATGTCTGAATTATATCTTCGGGATTTCGCTTTGCTAACGTAGATGGCGTAGCTATGTTATCTTCTCTGTGAGAATGTTTCATAGACTAATGAAGAGACGGTATATTTTTCTGAACTGCCTTAAATGAAATCTGAAATGATTTTTCATTGTACAATTATAAGCTCCGAGGTCATCGCGTGGCACGCGTTGAATTTCGTTGTATATGTCACATGAACACGTCGCCGTGCAAAGACCATGTTTACCATTTTGAACATATGACAAATTAGATCAGAATAAACATGTAGTGCATTGTGGGAAAAGGACGATGCTTGTAAATTTAACATATCAGGGGTGTTATTGAAATTCACAGTGAGAAGTAGACTCGACGAGCGATGACAGGAAAATAATGCACAAAATATTGTTTTCAATTACTTAGTTTTGTGCAATTTGTTTATGATGAGTTCGCTGTAATTGTTTTGTAATTGTTCATCAATTAATGTAATTACATATTGTAGTCAAAATCTGCAATGATATTTACGTAATCATATCAGTGGGTGACACCAAACTCGATAACATATAAGGCATAACTATGTCATGTGAATGTCTGCTCAGGGTTTGATATAATGTAATGGGGGAGATCACCTACATCTGCCACTATGCAAACTGGTTATTCTGCAATTCAGTAGGACAAATTCGGCAACCCTAAAACCGACAATGTCATTTCCATCAGTCGATCGTCACTTCTGCTAATACTTGTCTCATCTCTGGGAATTCCAGTCATTTAAAATTGTCTCAAATGCAGAATGAATAATTTATAGTTATGCAAAGCTTCGGTTCATGGTAAAACCTCATCCACAGGGGATCAAAGCCACATTGTCAGCAGTGCCCGCAAAAATGTCGACGTGTGTCATCCGTCCAATTCGTGTATACAACACAACTCGTAATTATAAATTATATAATTGATTCAAATTGTAGTTGATTGGCATTTAGTATATATTTATAATTGACTGGTGAGTACAATCTGGTATCAGCTGGTGCTGTATTAAATTTGAATCATTATACAGTGCTGTAAAGTTGGACTTTCCCCAAATTGACACCATCTGTCTGATCATTTGTGACGCATTGTAGGTGTGATCAGAAAACAAACATCGCTTTGTCATTTTTATCTAATATACGTTACAGCTATTGTAATATCACAAAGATTCAAGACTGATCGAAGCATTCCATGTATAAGCTATCCCTTTCCCTCCCCAATTACAATTTACCGTAACCATGTGTGAAGCAATTTGTCGGATGTACCAAATTTCATGTTGATTTACAGAAGCTAGAAGTTGAATGTATATGTACATTGTAACACCACTACGATTGGATTCTGATGCGCGCTCCATTCTGTCTGATTACCTCAGCAACCCGCGTTCGAAGTTTCGAGCTCGACGTACAAGGTAACAAATTCATGCTAACTCAAAATGAATACCGAGTACCACGTGACGCGGATTCCACGTCATTTCACTTCAAACAATTTACCTGCCGGATTCTAAGTGACAGAATGCTATCTTGCAAGTGACCTGTAATAACTATAACACGACAATTACGAATGAGGTTTTATAAAAATTACGGATTTAATGACGTACGCGGACACAAATACCCACGCGACACTGGAATCAGAAAAAATCTAATAAACATGTAATATAAAGTATATATAAAGTGTTAATTCCCACATAGACATTTGATATTTGTTATTAAAATAAAGATGAATCATTCATCAACGGAATTGTAACTTGTATGCGGTTTATAGGTATAGAAAGTCCAATGTATGATAAAATCAGACTCGAATAAATTAGGAAATGCGATATTTCCAAGATGGCGTTTAACAATGAGGTCATGGAAAGAAAGTTCCATTAACCTGTTGAATTTAGATTCAGAAATGTCTTTGCTATCACTTTCTCTAAATTTTTAAAGTTCAATGACGAAAAATATAAAATTACCATTCAGCAATAAATTAAAAATAGTAGTGACATTGTGACTTAATTCTGTCAAACACAAACACTTCAGCAAAGAAAACTAATTCCATAACAACGTTTTACAATATGTTTGCTGCCAGACAATACAGATAAATAGAAAAAAAAAATACATTTCTTTAACTTCAGGATTTTGTCTCCCAATAGTTAAATTTAGACGTGTGGCAAAGTTGTTGAGATACTAATAATAGAACATTTGTTCACAATGGAAAACTACTCTAATATACTGACAACATCATAGTTGAACACAACGATGAGTTTAATTAAAAAGAAACAAGTAATATAACGTGTTTATTTCCTTTGGGAGACTGGTTTGCATGTACATGCAGCAAAATAAGTTTTTCTCCTCGGTGTTTCTTTTCGTGTGTTCCTCTTCTACAGGAATATGTGAGAGCGCTGACGTCAGAAAATGGTATATGTAACAGAACTTCTATTATAAATTCAAAATCTACACGACACATCTTTAGGCGTGAATTAAAGTGGAAAAAGCGAATGTGTTCATAGAATAATATCTGTTATAATTATTTTTATTTATCAGTGTAATTAAAATTCGTTACGAATTCGCTTTTAAATTAATGCCGGTGCTAGTGTGCACCACCTTTCACAACTTTTGGCCAATCACATCTTACTATGCAAATTAGGCAGCTCTGCTATAAAGAAACCTGTAATGCGAGTTCTGATTGGTTGCGGGTCCTACCAGATATAATCACGGTGTACATCTATACCAGTATAAAAGAGTAAGCTGTCAATCACGGACAATGCACCTATGAATCTCGGAACACTATAGTTTATGTTAGTGGCATTGTTAATCTATCTTTTGTTTTCCATCTTAATCCAGTAAGATATGCGTCAATAACAGTTGTATTATTATTGCCCTTATCTTTTGAGCTGAATTTTTTTGTGCATAGTAGTATATATGGAGCTCTGTCATCATTTTTAAAGAGTT